CCCCCCCAGATAGGTCTCTGGATCCGCCACTGATATTCAACATGTTTTTCTCGTTATTTGTATTTACTCTCATGCGTCTAAGGAAAGAACAAATAAGTTTGAAACAATCTAAGACTAGTGAAAATAAGCGTACAACGTCAGAACAGTACATTGTGTGTATGTGACGTACGCGGAAACATACCTTTGGTCGTAGTGTATTTAGGTTGTAATAGAAAATCAAAGTTCCTGATCTTAAATATAGCGACTGGAGTTTCCCTAATCTAAAATTGATTGGTTCGATTTTTCACTATTTAAAATAAGTATACTTGAGTTTTCCTTGGCAGATTCAGTAGAGTACAAACGGGAGGATGCCACTGTTAAGGAAGGTTTCAACTTCATGCAGCGTTTGGGAGAGGGATTCCTCTCCTGGACATTTTAAAACTAAGTGTTCTGTTGTGCTTTATGAAATTCCTTAACCTAATCCAATAAACTAAGCAATAAATGTGTTCGAAACAAATATACAAATATAAAGTGTATAAAAAAAATTTGAAATTTACAGAAATATTTTTTCTTCAAAAATATGTTATACTTTATAAAGCAACCGTCATGACTTTGATTGGTTACAGTGGGTTTATGAGGAAAGCACAGCTAAAGGTCTTCCGTCAAAAATAATTTCGCGGTGAAAGTATTGGTTCTGTTCCCCTTATTGTAACGAGAAACACAATACTGTAACACGGGGTAATATCATATATCAACCAGATGTGTCGGTCTCCACGTTTAATTACTACAAACCAAAGAGCACTTTAATTAAATCTGCAAGTACACACCATAATTAAAGTACAATGCGTGCGTATAGGAGCAACAAATCAGATTGTTTTATGATTTCTAAAAAATTCATTAGAAAAACAGTACTGAAACAATATTGAATAAAACTAAGGTATATAACACTGGATTTTTGAACATATTACAGATTTTTTTTTCATTTAATTAAAGTAGAAAATATATTAAATTGAAAAACAGGATTCAAATAAGGGTCTACAAGTCTGAAACAGTAATAACGTAAATATTCAGACATATTTTTTTGTGATTCAGTTGTCAATTTCTACCTTTTATAGTGTGCCTTGGAAGCCAATGAGTAATACTTATATAAAGGCATGTGTCATGTTACGATCTTAATACGGGGGGAATGTCTTCAGATATATCAAAATGAATGTCCATTTCTGTAAACAAGTATGCAATGTCAATATCTATACCATGTACATTACAAGTCAACTATTCCTTCGTCTAAATATGTACGTAAAACATTCACTTGAAAAAGTCGAGAAAGAAAAAAATCGTTTGTAGATGTAGAAAGCCAGACAAAGTTAACTTTTTTGCTTTATTTAATGTTTTTAAGGGTTTTGCTTTATTGCTGTACATATATAAATTGTTTAAAGAATATAAACGAATGCGTGCTGATTATAATACATCTTATATGTTGATAGTGTAATGCACTGTTACAAAAATTCTGAAAAATTAAAACAAACAAAAAGAAAACAAAGGGGAAAATCATTGATCGAAACTATATATGTATACATGACTGACGAACCATAACACTTTAGCCCTTAACAATAAAAAAATATTTTGGAAATAAAATATTCGAAACATAACAAAATATAATATTTATTTGCAGAATCGGGTTATGATGGAAGTAATACCCATGGTTAAGTACACCAGACTTTATAAAAATGTTCCGTGTATAAGACAGTACTTGTTCGATGTACTTACACAATCTTCTTGACATAGGTCAAACACTTCAGACGCGAAAGTGTGATTGGGAGTTTGAAAGAACATCTATTCATTACATTAAGGCGATTTTGTCAGTATTTTTGATTCATCTCAATCCCCGCTAAATCCTCGTTCAAGTTGCCTACACCAATACATCAATGTGAATGGCGTATCTTGATATGTTTAATTGCTCTCTCCGCATTTTTACGGTTTTGTGGTTGATGGTTTGTTCCTCTATCGAATCCCCTTATTTTATCTCCGGCAATGCCAGGTATTTACAAGATAACCATTGCGATATTGTATGAGGCGGCCATAATCCCTGTTGAACCGTTAGAGGTATTTGACTTCATATCACGTTTGCATCGTTTTGGAATATTAAGGATTACACTTGAAAGCGAAATATCAGATCCATAGCGAAATTGGTTCTTCAAAGACAGACCTTGCACTCGAGCGTGCTCAATTAATACAGAAGTGTGGAAACGCATCGTTCTTATCTCATGGAAACTAGCTTTAGCTGGTAAAGCATCTCAGAAGACGTTTTCGATTTCAGAGTAATTAACAGAGTTTATCGACAATCCCTATCGTCGTCAGGAAGTGTAGGATTAGCGAGTATTAAGGTTAAACATACGGTTGTAACAATCTGAGTTTTATTACAGGTAAAGAATTTCGGCTGATTACTACGTCGTTAAGACTGACCCCAAGGAAGCTGTGTCAATGATAAAGATTTCGTAACCGACCACACAATGTTCCTTGTACTCTTACACAGCCGTTGATCCGCTGGGATTTGAGATACATTCCAAAATCAGTACTATTTGAATCGAATCAATTTTCTCATACAATTTCCATGAAAGACACTTAAGTAAGAACCCAGCATATCCTATTACTTGAACGGCTGATATTAAATATGTAATACCAAAACATGCGGATTCTTTGATGTATGTGATTTTAAAACTTTCGGTTAAAACATGGCTATCGCTACAAAGTGAAGGCTATTCTCGATAGCAGCCACTACATGTAGATTTGTTCGATTATTCTTGGTTTCGCATTCTCGAAATAGCTAATATCCTATGACAACTGTGTCCGCGAATTGTGGGTATCTCAGGGGACACTTTAAAGTGTAGATAGGAGAGAAAATATAAGAGAAATGCTTTTAATGTTACAATGGGGGCAGCACATCAAGTGTGGTCTCTTGAATGTCCACTAAGCAGGGAAAACAAAAAAGAAAAACAAGAAAGAAGAACTGATTCTGCTAAGAACCCCCGTTAGTTGCCTCATACAATCATGCACGAAGATACAGCAGGTGTGCTTTTTGCTCGAATCAGTAAAGGTAATAGCCACACAGAGAAGGATTTTCTCGCAATTCTTTCTGTCAGAATACAAGGTTGGCCAATGACTTCACTTACCTTTGGTGTGTATACGTTGAGATATAAGCAATCTTCGCTAGTCTTGTTGAAGCCCGGAACATGGAGCTCGATGTATGCCAGACCCCCGCTGTGCTGGGGACAGGCGGGGCCCAGTTCTATCGCATTGAGGGTTCCCTCGTGCCATGTTTTTGGGACGACTGGGGGCTGCAACCGAAATAAAACAAGTATTAAAGTATTTTCATTGAACAGCTTATAGTTTATATTCTACGAAAATGGCAACACATGTAACACATTAATGAAATAAAATACCATACCATACATAAAAAAAATAAAATGTTACGTGTCCATTATGTACTTTGCTAAATTTGCAAAAGAAGTTTAATATTGACAATACAATAAATTAACCAATATTGCGTAATATTTTAGGTTATTCGTAGGTATAATGTTACAAATACTAATTAACATGCCTGGAATTTGATTGTATAACATCCGTGTTTAACAGGAAGTCATCCCTACGGAGGAATTTAACAATTACATTGGTTGCATCGAATCTGAACTAGTAATGGATCAGCCACTGCCAGAAGGTGTCACCTACGAGAGATGTATGGAAGGCCGTGATCAGATGTGGCCTACGAGAGATGCATGGGAGGCCGTGCTCAGGTGTCGCCTACGAGAAATGTATGGGAGGCCGTGATCAGATGTCGCCTACGAGAGATGTATGGAAGGACATGATCAATTGTCGCCTACGAGAGATGGATGGAGATCGTGATCAGATTTCGGCTAAGGGAGATGTATGGGAGGCCGTGATCACGTACGAGAGATGTATGGTAAGCTTTTATTTGACTTAAATGACGCATGACGTACTGGTGTCATCATATAGAAAACGCTATTAGTCTCGAGCCATGCGCTTACTTAGGACTGCTTTAATCATACATATATTAAGAAAGGTAGGACATTCCTAAACTTACAAAATGGTGAAGACCCTAGCACCCCTTAAATCATACATAGGTTTTGTTTATGATGTACGTTTCTAACCAGTGACCATATATACAACTGTAAATACCAACGCACAGACAAGGGTTGTGTAATGTGTATTACATGCAATAAGGGAAATAATCTTCATCTTGAATGCCGTATCTTATGACAGAGCTCGGTTGATATATGTCATCGATAAGTGTCTCTGCTCAAGGAAGGTAGCAAACGGAGACACGGGAGACCCTCACCTCCAGGCCTAATCGGGCCATCGCATCGCATTACATAAAGCAGAAGGCATACATGCAGCGCTAGTAAGTAATGCGTCACGATAGGTTCCAACGCTTAAATTTCATATTTGATAAAAATCCCCATAAATTAGGTAGAGGATTACAAACATCGTTTATTTTTATCAAGATATGTTTTAAAAGCTATGTGGCTAGTCTGGTTACCTCCCCTAATTAGCTCTCCACTATGAGGAGTAATCTCCGCAGGGAGTAAGTTCGATGTCATTACCAACAAAGTAAACCCATCGTAGATTTATTTTTTCTGCAATAAGGCGATGAGTAGTCATAGCATAACCTGAAACGGTTTTTTATCTTCATCCGACTCAGAGATTAGGTACAGGGCTTAATTCCGACTGTACTGGCTCTTCTAGACAAGTTATACAGTAACGTAACAGTCAACGTTTATCTAAAAAAAAAATGGTAACAGTGGTAAGGTTTATCATGAATTTTCTTTTTCAGTTCACATAAACTGCAGTGACTACTTAATGTAAGAGCAAGGTGGTGCACGTGGCGCTGTAGGCGTTCCGTCCTTTCCAGACCTAGTGACTACACGGGTTATCTTGGTTACATAACCGCTAGCTATATGTTGGATGTTAAGTCGCTCCGAGAAACGACACCAAATCCGGATATAGCTTGTTCCGTCATCCGAGTTCTGCCAATGCCTTGTAATCTCAACTTAATTCTCTTGTAAAACAGAAAAAAACGCTGTTCAGAGCAATGCAAATATGTACTCTACTTGTGCAGAGAATCAGTCGATATTTCTGTTATATTCATCATACGCTTTTCTTAACAAAAAGATACAACTTGTTTTTACGCTAAAATTTTCGTTGAAATTTCAATTTTCAAAATTCCCCGTGAAATAAATTTCAAATTTGACCCGAAATTGAATTTCCACTTAGAAGATACCTAAGTCGTAATAGTTCCATTTGTTGCTATGGTAACGGAAATCGACGTCGCTCAAACATTGAATTGATTGTGAATTAAATCTTTGTAATTTCTAAATCCTTTCTCCGATATATATCAAGGTAATTAAAGATATCAAAGGACTTTATATTGACCAGTTCCAAACAACAAGTAATAACGGTTCTAATCTGTCCTTTTCCGGCAGTACACGTTTTATTTGGAGTGCGGATCATTTCCGTCCGTCATCTGACGTTGCACCCATATCCCCTGGATTATAACAGGACAGGAAATTAAATTTGCTGTGTACGAGTGAATCAGACACACACAAAAAACGATAAAGAAACGATTGAAGTTGAAGATAATGATACATTCAAACTTTATTGAAATGTGTTGATGCAATACGGATGTACTACATATTTATTGATTCGTTATTTCCATTGCTCAATTGTTTTCGCCTGTCAATGTCTTCACTTTCGCTAAAGGTGCTTTTGGTTCTCGGGTTTATTTTTGGGATCCAAACGATTATACGCTCTTTAATTTATAATGGAACACAATAACGGGTTCTTGTGGATGTGATAAGTATGATTGTCTGTGCCTTACCCAACTCAACACAGCTATGACAGTGCACATGTGCTTGTCACCTGCCGACAAAGCACTTGACAGTGTGCTTTCTTTCTTTTGTATAGGTAGTGTCCCATCTAAGACACCTTACCTTGCTCGCTGTTATTGGAGTATTACATTGTATGCTGGTTTCCGAGACGCGTTTCCGATAATGACTAAACTTGTTGGTTTCCGTAGTAGATATTATCTTCCCTGGAAGTCGTGATGAATATCAACGCATTGATATCCTTTATTTAGATCGATTTCCGAAATTTCCAAGTACAAAGGACTTGGTCGTAACACAATTACACCAGGCGTCGCAAAAAAACCACGGCCTCAAGTAAAAGACATTTATTATATTTTGGGCATGCGACCGTAGCTTACTGGCGGTACCAAATTATTTCACTGATTCAAGATGTTATTGCCATTTATATATACTCCTTACAAGGAAACCGTGATCCCTTGGGACTTGTTCCTCCGGAATGCAACGGTTGATGCTCCCAGGTGCGCACTGAGCCTTGACACGCAATAGTAGTAGTCGATACACCCGTGGTAACGCACTCGTCATCACAAACATGCAATGATGCATGCTGACATTTTACCTAGGTCTCGTTATACACGTATACGGGTCCCGTGGGATCTGTATCGGAGAGGGGGGGGGGGGGAAGTGTGGGAAGTATACGTCGTGACTGCAGGAATGTGCACGCATCGTTACATCTTTAATGGCGTCACAACTCCAACATCCAATACTTTCACCAGATCGATTCTGAGGTGACCCATTACAGAATCGAGACCTGTAGTAATACCATAGGAATAATATTGTTAGTCTAGGCAGTTGTGACCTTCTTCGTGATCTTAAACAGTAATTTCCATTGACCTACTTACTGGCGAACGAGTTTTAGTCCTAATGAGCGATTGGCAACCGTTTTATCTCTAGAAATCCCTTTAGCGTCGAGATGTAGACCGGAATTAAAGCTACGATGGCCGACAAGAGCCTGACAAAAAATATAGGAATTTTCATATCTGTTTGTACCACGGTACACTTTTATATGGTACACAAAGATATTAAAATTCAAATCTTTGTGTACCATGTAAAAGTGTACCATGGCATACAAAGATTATAAACAACTCTACAAAAAAAACTCTTTTTTGTGTGAAAAAAGTGTACCACCAGAGCATCGGAATGTTGTTATCGGACACTATGACCAGAACTGACCCCGAATAGTGAAGCCCTAATTAAATACAATGTCAAAACAAGTCGTGAAGTTCATTTATCACTTCTGATGAAAAACAGAGTAAGTTGCAATTGTGTAAGTATTGGGGCCTTAAGAGGGTCTCCAAAAGGGATAAAGGACATCTGTATATTTTTGTCATATCCCTTGTTTTAATTGATGTCCAGATTATAAAGGATTGTACAACTAGCTCATCGTATTTCCCATTTTTTTTCTTTTCCAAAATGGTAGCCTATTTATCCTTCGATGTAATTAAATTGATTGCCCCCTTCTCGTCCCCTTGTCCCCTGCGGACCCCGTCGGCGTTTTCAACTGATTTGGAGTGTCTTTCATTTGAGAGGTTGAAGCAGATAGAATAGATTAGAAATGTAAGCATTAGAAAAATAATCCATAATGATTTCCTTTTTAACGTAAAACTTTTATAAAATTCGGTAAAGGATATTGAATAGTTGATTTCAATTTAAATGAGTAAGTAATAGTTTGGTAGCTCATTTGGGGCAATCAACATTTCATTGTATGTGATGACAGCCTTATCGGGGTGTAATTTGTCATACTAGGTAACCTTTTCGTCTGATGGTTTCACATGTTTCTGTACCATGACTTTTTACGGCCGTTATTTTGGTACAGAAAGATACAAAATCAACGGGTTGATTTTATTTCTGCTTTCATATCTTTGTGTACCATGGTACACTTTTACATGGTACACAAAGATTTGAATTTTAATATCTTTGTGTACCATATAAGAGTGTACCATGGTACACAAAGATATGAACATTCATATCTTTTTGTCAGGCTCTTGTCGGCCATCGTAGAAAGAGGTCCTCTGGTATGCAGAGCTGGTTAGCACGGGTACTTGTATGTAATTTATCGCTAATCACCAAGATATGACCAGCGTGTACCTTTCAGAATTACCTGTCGTCACTCTCCCAGTCTCTGGGTTACCTCAAATGCCATACTGATCACCGTCATAATTTTCCATTAAGGAGGAATTGTTTTATTATGACCCGTATTTGCTGATTGGCGTCCTCTTGTCAAGGAGTGTACCAGGCCGATGTAGTCGATAAGAGAAATACCGCTGGGACTTGGAAGGTAAACGCGGATAATTAGTTCTAGAGAACCTCCACGCATTGCACCAAACCACAGGGACATGGATCGCTTTACTTGTAATATAAAAAAATAGGGGTCTCCTATACTAATATATACAAAGGGA